ATTACCTCCTTACCAGTTTTGTACACAGACAGCTGGCATCGGTGTTGCTGGGTGTATATGATAAAGGGAAGTTGTGCAACCAAATTTGCCGAGTTCGCAGTTTTTCGCCAAGAAAAAAAATAACTAAGGCAACAACTCACGGTTTTTCAACATTTTTGTAATAAAGACATTATTCTCTATCAATAATCTGCCCAAAACAGGAACATTTCCACTAATTCTTGTGTTTTTTCGACGTTTTTCGAAAAACCTGCGATTAGGCTGCAAAGGTAGAACATTCCGGAGGGGGCGAAACGGAAGAGCCAAATTTAACGCATAAAAATAGAATGCGTATTTTGACCTCTATGCGGTCGTTGCCAAAGAGCCCTGCGTCCATGCCTGGCGATGCTCTTCCGTTTCACCAGTTGCGTTTTTTTGACCAAAAATTTTGCAATACTGTCACGACAATTGATGAATAAATTAATACACATAAAATATGAATCACGGGCTAATTCAATGGTCACCGAACACTCCACTACTAATAAACAATCTGTGGCAAGATTGTAGCGTACTGTATATTTGACCCAGATTTGACAAGCGTGGTACAGTTTTTTGCGCGAGTCCGTAATAACGCGCACAAAGGATTGTGAGTCCTCTTGGGTTGCTTAATATCCGTCTGAAATTCTGGACTGTGGTCATATTTTTCGAGGAGTCGTATATTTAAATAACTCACCGTGACTAGTGTTTTGCATTATGAAGTATATTATTATGAAGGTTAACACATGGTACTTTAGGTAAATATTTACCATTTCGTTATTTCATTATTTCGCTTTCCAGCATTTACAGGAAACGCTTCATTCTAGAAAATCCTATCGCAAAACGGTTGGAAATAATAAATGTAACAGCAGAATACGTCCTAGCACAGTCATTCTACTAGTAGAGTGACTGTGGTCCCAGTAATAAACTAAGTGACTTCTAAAGACTGAATGGTGTTTGCGAACTTCGTATTAGTTATAAACTGACGTTAGCTTCACGTTTATGTCACCATGGAAACAGTCAAAAACATATTGCTTGTTTTTGAGCGGAGCGGATCGCCAACTAGCCTACCGGCTTGTTTAAAATATTTGTTCATATACTTGTGATTCTAGCATGTGTTATGAAATGAATGCCAGGTTTCCCTCAAAGCTTATCGACATTATCATTATTATCAAGGATTTATAATGTAAGGGTATGCAACATCTGATTTTTATATAGATATTGTTGCCTACCCATATTTTATTAGTCCTTCATGTCACACATTGTTGTGTTTTTTTTAAATCCTCTTCAACCTTTTCATCTCCAGTTCCCTCTTTTCATCACAAATCTGCAAAATATTCCCATTTATAGTTTGCACTTCCCTTCAGAAGATTGGGACAAAAGTAGCCAAATTTTTTTCAGTAAAAACTTAAAATTGACTAAAATTTTGTTTGTCGGCTCCAAAATTAGGGTTCATTGTCAGTAAGATTGAAGAATATTCCCATTTATAGTTTGCACTTTTCTTCAGAAGATTCGGACAAAAATAGCCAAATTTTGTCAGTAAAAAATGAAAATTTACTAAACTTTTGTTTGTCGTCTTCAAAATTAGGGTTCATTTCCTGTAAGATTGAAGAATTTAAGAAAAAAGTGCAGAAAAATTTGGGTGAGAATGACGTCTGGTGATAAAATTAATCCTACTGCCCCATGGGCTGAATATGATATTTGAACATTCGATTTGCTAATAATTTTCTGCCATTCCACTGTAGCTGGATTTTTTTTCCTGCAAAAGTGTACTCAATTTTGACCCCTACAGAAATTTTAATTTTTCCCTGACTATAATTTAATTTCTGGGCATCCTCTCTTTCTTGCATTATCAAAGTATCGTGTTCCAGTCTACTGTCTCCACGTATTACCTTGAAGTGTCTTATTAGATTAGTATCTTATGTTACGCCACTACAGTTGAAATTGAGAAATGTTCATCCAATTAATCTATTATAATAGCAAATATATAAATTATATTTTGATTTTTGTGTATGTGCAGGAAAGGGTCTCAGAAGTAACACTGTGAATAGATTATTATTTGAAAGTTTTCTGTTTTTTTTCAGTTTGTTAATAGATAAAAATAAAATATATCAATAAAATTGTGAATAAATTATGAAGGTTCACAACAGACATCATCTTTACATTGAAACTTTCTGCAACTACAAAGATAATAAAAGTATAGACTGGAAAAACTTCAAAATAAAAGAAAATGTGATTGTTTATCATCACAAACTTCTCATAAGATCCTTAGCATGTTTAAAAGTATAATACTTGTAACAACGAATCTGATTGGTCAATATATTTGTTATTATGTCCAAGAATTATTATGTTTAAGAATAGACTTACCAGACAGCTTCACAGATATATATATATATATATATCATGTTTCTCATATCAGTAAAAATAGATAAATTGATGATTATTCAATCATTAAACCCCTGGGTAGGAAGAACCTTTACTTTGACATACTCACCGTATTTTTATTACTTTCTGATTTTTTTTGTAGTTATTAGACCTTTTAAATTTGCAGTTATTTTTAGTTGCATTATTTAGATTTTATTTTACACTATTTTTACCTTAGCAGATTACAGTTGCTTAATAAACTATTATTATTATTATTAATATGTTTACCGGTTCATTGTTTTATTTTAGGGTATGGAGTGTACGCTACAATCATTTCCATGACCAGCTAGTCTTGACTTCAAGTAGTGACAGTAGAGTAATATTATCCAATATTATCTCGTTATCATCAGAACCTTTCAATTATCAAGATAATATGAGTGATAATGAAGATAACGAACAAGACAGGTGAGAGCTGAATTATTGCATTCTTGTAAATTGGTTCATCTAACATCTGTTCATCAATGTTTATAAATGTGATTAAATTTGCTTACAAACTGATCATAATAAATATTTAATTGATGACAGGCTTGTCATTTTTTTGGCAGGCATTCCAAATTTTAGACAGATACAAAATTCTCACAAACCTGTCAAAATAAAATCACAAAATTACCATAAATAATTTTTCTGGCTATAACCTTGATTGACGCTGTCCTTTCCCAAGAGGCAACAATCCCTGTTTAATCTTTGAGTGTCATTGGTAAGTTTTGGCACCAAATACAATATGACTTTGTACAGAATGCTCCTCCCTTTGGTAAAAATGTTGATAAAAATTGACAAAACTTTTGATCAAAAACTAAAAACAATATCTGAAACTGTCTGTATGGTTCAAAATGGTGATGGAATTTACTGAAAATTTTACAAAATGTGTTTGCACTGAATTTCAGACAAGAAAAATATCTGGCTCTCAAAAGGTTAATTATGCCTTGGTAAAACTTTTCACAGTAAACTATTTGTAAAGAATACCATGAAATGTACTTGTACCTGGTTATGGTGATAGAGTGACTTGTCTTATGCTAAGATGACTGTTGACTTAATAGTACATTCCAGAGTACAACTGGAGTACATTCTGCCTCCGTCACCAACCACATGGTACATTGTGTATGTGATATAGTACCATGGTGTCCAATCAGATGGGAGCAATATGAAATGAATTGTCCTAAGTGCATTTTCTGTAGTAGATTGTACACAGGAGGCTGTATTGTCTCTTTCTTTCATGTCTTAATTTACCTGATCTGTGTTTGCATGGTTACCTTGGTTACTGTTGGTGAGTGGAGATGAAATATAAATATATATGTTGCAGTGTAATATTTGTTCTACTTCAACAAAATGAACTTTGTGAATATCACAGAATAAAGAAGAAGAAATATAGCTAGTTTTTATGAAAATTCCCTATATAGTATAGAAAAGTTGACATTTCTAGTTTGGCATACAAAGGTAATTTTGTATGATTCTAAAATAAAAACATACTTTGTTACATCGTTTGATCCTGAATGATAATAGACTTGTGGAAAATATTGAATGTTTAATTTCTAGGTGATAAATAAGGTTCTGGTCAAATTAAAGATTATAAGTTTCTACTTGGTACATTTTGGATTAATGTCATTACGATACTGAAAATGACAATCAAAATTTGCATTTTTACACTGGCTTCTATGGTGAAGTAATTTTGTCATGTCTCAAAAAGTTGATGAAAAAGCAAATATTGTAAAATTGATATTTTATTCAGTGAGTTTCTAGTGTAATTATAGTTTTTAATTACAAACGATGTTAATTCCCATAATGCATTGCGTTTATAGTAACATGATGAATAATGAGTAACAAGTTCTTTGCATGGCTCTATATTAGCTCTCACTCATTGCTCACCAAAACTTTGAAATAAAAGTTAAAATTGCTTTAAAGCGGGGGAGTCGTCACCTGTGCATGCGTCAGATGGCCATAGCGTGTCATTGTTTACAAACAAGCGTCTACCCATTAGCCTTTGCATTTTAGTGTGTGTTATTGTCGCTTGGGACTCAATTCCTGCGTATACACAGGTGACAACAATCCTGCTTTAATTTTACTATACAGGAAAATTCTGTAAACATCTTCCTTCAAAGAGAGGAGAAATGTGTTTTTTAAATTTATCAGCAAATTTTCCCTCACCAGGTCATGCATGCATCGTACTCTTATTGACTCAATTCTTTCATTTCTTTATTTCACTATTGTCCATTCTTCTGTCCAACTTGCCAAGTCTTTTCGTCCCTTTTGTTTCTACTTATGATAACTGGAATGCCAGGAGAAGGTAAGAAGTGATGATGTCACCAGTTGTGTTGGTGATTTTTATGCATCAATTGATGATGTCACTGATTAGTGTGCAAAAGATGACCAAGGCTTGTGTAAGATGTCTATTTTTAGCAATGTACCATTAATAAGTGTTTGCCATTTGTTTATCTGTTTGTACTTTCTTTCTGCTATTATGTGTATATTTTTTATTTTTTTTGCAAGGATGTTTCTGACAAACCTCTCCCTAAAAACAACATTCTTTTGAAATGCATGTAATACTATAAATTCTTAACATTTTATTTTGAGAGATTGAAGAAACCAAGGATTCAGCACCTCTGTTCTGTAAAATTGACAGCATAGACATTGTGATTATTGATCAAAAACAAATTTAAAAGAACACAGAACTGAGTGTTGGTATAGTAGTTAGCACATTCACCTCGCATCAGGGAGGTTCTGGCTTCAATTTCAGAACCAACTGTTTTCTCATCAGTATAAATCTTAGCACAGTCTACCAAACACGCAGTATTAGGTTTGAGAGTCTGGTTCACTTGTACATGCAATTAGCACAAAACTTTAAAGAGGGAAAGCAGTGACTCTAATATCAGTGCAACATATACTAGTTTTTATGGACTGGATATGGCTTTTGCGGCCCAAGGTCATGTGATGAGAGCACCTGAGCTTGCGAGGGTGTGTAAGCGGTACCACAGAAGGCAACAAAAGCTATATCCAGTCCATAAAGGGGTTATCATATACTATATTAGTGTATTTACAAGTTTACCACAGCGTCGTCTCTAACACATAACATAATTTAGAACGATGCGTTTTGTTTTGAATAGTAAAAGCTGGGCATGGTGGGCCAGGTATGACACCTAAAATTTGTTCCCTGATGTGAGGGCGCACTTCTAATAGCGTTACAAGGCCAGGCAATACAAGGTATATGATAAATGCGTAAAATACATTGTTTGTTTTACACATGTGTATGTGCTGCGACTTGACCTCTCACTTGTATGTTTTCCTGTAGATCATTAGAACCGAAAGAAGACGGTGTTATAGCCACGTATGAGGAGCACGAGACAGTGTGTATGCGGCAGAATGGTCGACAGCTGATCCATGGATTATTTGCGTCATTAA